ACATACATATTTTTACAGCAGTGAAAGAGTACACTTCCTGGTAAAAGCTATTCTTGGGAAGGCCAAATTGTAAGATCTGACAAAAAGAAAAATTATACACATTTCCAGAGCTTGTGCCCAAAACTAACACAGAATACAAGCATTCAATGCCAAAGTCTCTCAAAATACAGTACATGAAGATACACTCTGAAATATCTGTGAAATATTTATAAAGAATGTTGATGGTCTAAACCTTCTTTTAATTTTTCAGCTCTGACTGCAAATTCATTGTATGAAATAATAACATGCTTCTGGCTTGCAATTTAACACTAGATAAAAACTTACCACTTTAATTGAAGCAGATTTATCTTCAAATGGGATATTTCCATGCTGTCAAAAAAACCCCAAAACAATAAAAACAAAGTAAGAAAAACTTTCAGAATGAAAACAAAGTATTTACATTCCTATGCTAACTTGCTCTCACCCAAAAGTTTATCTTCAGTGGAAAGGATTTTTCTTGTATAAACTTGTCACTGTACTCATACAAAATGTTGATGTTACTTTCTTGATAAAACAAGCTACTCAAATAAACGATTATTCTTCCTGGAAGAAATCTAGCAAACAAAGTCTGAAATGCTTTCTGTTCACTCTGTTACAAATGTATCAAATATTTTTCTAAATTTAGCCTGCCAACACAAGAAAAACTTAAGACCTTTTCCCTCTTTCTTTTCTTACACTGCCTTTCCCCAGCCTTTTCATCTGCCCATCTCCTTCACACAAAACAACCAACAGTTTTAATTAAAAAATAAAAGAAAATAATCTTAGGTAGAAATAAAATCTGGAACACATTATTAAATTTGCTGAGTGAAACTGTAAGAAATCAGAAAGGAAGGACTCAGATATGCATACACAATCCTCCTTTAAAATATACTAAATACAGAATTAGTTTCAATTATGGTCCAAAAGAATAAGTTTACATCTCTTCCACAAACTGAGATCCTGATTTCAATAACACTTGACAAATAATACTTTTGACTCAAAATCAATTATAGCACTCTATCATCTCAGCATCACTTTTGGGAAGCAACTGTGACCTAACCAGCTGACTAGGAAAACCTGGGTTCTTGGATCAATCAAGCATCTTGTTTTGACAAGTGAAAGTGGCTTCGTGCTGTGTGCTGGACAAGCCACCAGCCTGAACTTCTAAATGACAGAATTACTAAATAATTCACAAATCTGATGCACTGTTGAAAGCGAAATGTGTCTTTTCCCTCACATATGTACATACATCTATGAAACTACGTGCCTAAGAAGTACAATATAGCAAAAGAAATCAATATTCTGTTCAACAAATGATAGAGCTAAATCCTTTCTTACTGTTGCCCCCCAGCAAGCTGCTGTTTACATTCTTTACCTTATAAAATTCAGACAGCTCTTCATCAGTGATCAAAAGGAAGGTAAGACCAGAAGCTATTTTTAGTTTCAGCTTCAAGTTAAACCTGGAAATCTGTCATTGCCCCATGGATTTGTATGAACAGATTAGATCAGCAATTTAACTGACATTTTAAATGACAAATTATAAGACACGAACTACTATTATTTAAAAATACACAAAGGAACAACCATTTTCTCATCAAGAAAGTAAATGTGAAACATAAGTTGCTATGGGACAAGTCAGCTTCATTTATTTATTCCCAGACTGCTGCAAGCTTTCTCTTGAGCTTCCTAGTTCCCTTCTCAGATTTACAATCTGTATGCAAACAATTATTTTGTTATTCTTCCAAAGATCTTTCTGTGCTTCCCTTCCTGAGGGCTAGGTCAGCAAACAATATCATTTCTTGACTTTCTGAAGTTTGGAAAAGAGTTATAAGGTAAATTAGGAAGAAACAAAAAAAAATCAAAATAAACTATCTCACCTTATTTCCCTCTTCTTTGACTTGAGGATTTATGAGTTTTATAAATGAATAGAACAACTGTCGAATTCTAGAATCTCCTATGAACACAATATGTTTGTCTATGAGGCAACTTTTTGCTTCACTGTAAAACAAAACAGCAACATTCATGTTACAAGAAATTTACATGTCAGAAAAAAATATTTTGAAAATCTACAGAGCAATATAGATAACTAAGGTATGATAAATCTTTTTCTAAACATGCTGCATCAATAAAAACTTCAGTGCAATTTGCACAGAAATGAAAATGAATGTGCACGATATGATTAGGCAAAGAACCAAGTAGGCTTTCCTATTCTGTGGTGCTACAAATACAGTTGTTTCAAATAGTAGTTTCAAAATGGTAATGTACAGCATAATTTAAAAAAAAAAAAAATTCTCTTACCAGTAGATGAAAGAAAGCGATTAGTGACTTTATTTGGGATATTTTTACTTGCAGTTTGACACATAAGGTCAGCATTTTCCCTTTCAGCAATCTGAGAGTGACATATGAAGCTATGCAGTCTCATGTGGATCTCCATAACTTATGTCAGTACCTCTATCACCAATATTTATTTATATTTTTATATAGAAATACAACTATGGTAAGCACTGTAGACATACACATAATGTACCAAGAAAAGATTTCTTTCTGATATATACTGTATATTTTTGAAAGCCTAGAGAATCAGCTATGAAGTGAACAATAAAAGACACTGCAATTACTACAGCTGCAGTCAAACAACGACTCTTCTTTCCATGCAGATGAACAGAAGACATGAGTTTCCTTACCTATTTTTATACTTATGCATCATACAACTGTGAGGTTGCCATACTTTTTCTCCAAGAAATCTCCCACTGGACAGAAGATACTCACATGTATCGCCACCTTGAAAATGTTACATTACAATTAGAATTCAGCTGCATGAAATGTAAAACATAGCTCCACTGCTATTATAAAAAATAATTTGACAATATTTGAAACACAAGAATTGGAACAATCGATGGCAGTAAACAAATATAACTTATCATAAAAACATCTTGCACAAGTTTCTGCAAGTTGCCTTCTTGTTTATTATACCACACTGTTCTGTAAATCACAACTCTCTACCCAAATTGTTAGTGATCCCACTTCTGTTATCAGAAAGATGTTGTGACCTAGAATGGCATTTCCTTTAAAAGATGCCAATTCACTGTGTTTTCTATTATCCAGAGTACATTGGAATATGAAATTAAAGAATACAATTGTTCAATATAATAATCTTCTACACAGAATCATCATGCACAGCATCTTGCATAGAACATGAATCTCAACATGAGATTGGGAAGAAAGTCTATTACATCTCTCTGCTTAAGACTTAGCAGTCACCTTAGAACAGGTGGGTTAACCTGCTGGGTTAAAATGCAGAAAAACCCCAAAACATTTACACAAGAATTTGCTGATCCTTAAGGACTTCAGGTACCTTTTCCACTCACTAAGTTTTACAGTAATTAAGATTAATCACTTTACAGGTGATGATCTTTCAATCATGTTAAGTTCTTATAAATAAAGTTATGTAATCAGTGACTGTTCTCTTCCCAGCTCCACATCAGAATCTGCTGCCTTGTAACTGAATGCAACAGAACACCATTCACTGCAAGAGAAGTTGCCCTCCAACATTTTTGTCATACTTGGCATTTCCGAGCACTGACAACCAGGGAAATGGTGGTGAATGAAATGGTAGGGACTTGTGCTGCTTGTGCAGAAACAATGTACTGCTGCCCCTACTTGACACTTTCTGTGTAACCTTGACTTCATTAAACTCAATTTATATTTTGGCTTTCAAGCAACACAATTTCTCTAATTCTCAAACATGCACACTTATGTAAACTATCATTTTGAGTAAGTTGCAGAATAATGAAACGGTCAGGAATAATAAAAAACCAATCTAATCAAAAGCAACATGAGACACTGTCACTGATAATGAGAATAGGTGACTCAGAGTTATTACTGCTACAAAGTCCTCCACTTTGCAGATGATGAAAACTAGGAGATGTATCAAAGTGATATGAGTGAACCATATAAAAGAATATCTATCACTAATCAGATTCCCTCTGAAATCCATTAACTTGCTGAAAAAGATGCATAAGAAAATAAGAACAATTATTCATGGTCAGACCAATGGTCAGTCTCGCCTGGTATTCTGCCTTCAACAGGGGCCATAAACAGATGCTCAGAGATGATCTTGTCTAATATTCTTCCAACTATGTTTAGTCCAGGGACTTCCTGAACTGGACACTCAGTCCTCAGGTTTTGGCATCCAGAGCATCCTTCTAAAAGAGTTTTCCATACCCACAGCTGATGCTTGAAGAATCACCTGCCTTTATTTTAAATGCAGTTTCTACTACATTTACTTGGCAGTCCCTTGTTCTTCCATAGGAAAAGGCAGTCTGGACTCATGTCTATTATGATCTGTAGAGCACTATCAATCCTTCCTCATTTAGGTTTTCAAGACAGGAGAATATCTGTATCTTGAGTTCATGACCCAAGCTTGGTTCCTCAGTACTCCATAATTACCCACAAATGAAACAATCCTCCATCTACAGTATGTTCACTGATGTAACATTCCAAACATCACACATTGTATACATTTTAAACAGAGAGACAATATTTCAGGTCAAGAAGTTACACCTTCCCTCCCAACTCCAGGTACTGAATATCTTACTGTTGCACTGAACAATATTCGAAAGCTCCTGAAACTCATTAGGAGAGTTACTGATGTCTGAAACCTTCCTTTAAACATAATAGCAGAAGTCACGGTGAGAAGATGAGGGAGGGGAATAAAACCAGACTGGAACAGCAGCCAAGAAAGTAAACTGGAGGTTACAGACCAGACAGTTCCTCCAGAAATGCCCAAGTCTGGCTTAGGAACAGAAATATCAGCTGAAGAACAATGCTTATATTAATATACCACACCCTCTTCTTAGCCAGTAATGAGATGTTAAAAGAAAAAAAACCAAAACACAACAAAAAAAATCCCCCAACCTAAAACCTGAGAAAAAGAATTCCAAGAGCCATTCTATACACAAAACACAGAACATTCTTCTTAAACTCTTCCTTTGTGTAAGTTATCCTTCCAAGATATTACCTTTTATGTTGGTATAGGTACACTACCGTATAGTTATACAAAGTGTATAATTCCCCTGAATTTTATTATGCTCATTATTCTAATTTATCATTCCTCAAAATCATGGTTATTCCACTGAAATCGTGAAATCTCTAAGTCTTCATTCAGCGCCAGAACAGACCAAGTTTCACAATGCTTTCTCTAAAAGGCACACTCTTTGTTTCAAAAAACTGGAAATTCAATTGTTCTCTATCATTCAAAATAAAAAAAAATGTAGTTTTAAAGAGAATCTACTAGTGTTGCCGGTGACCCCTAAATATAAGTTTCCCTGACCTTCCATAACCCCAGTCCAGCATTTTTTCATACAATTAACTTTAATACAGGCAAGTTTGACTGGGAATTGCATTGGGCAGTTCCTATCTATAATATGTACTTGCATGACTGAGGCCAAAATTAGCTGAAACCTTTACAGGTAATGACAATCAGACAAAAGAAAAAGTATAAAAGCATGAAAAACACAGCAATCCCTTCCCTGGCACGGCCCAGCTTTCACAGCCTGGCAACTTTGAGCCTGTTTGCAGGGCCACCTCATCCACCCTCTGCAAATCAGAATAACCTTTTTTGGGAGTATTTTTGGTATAAAATCTTGGTACAGAATGTCTTGTGTAGAAAAAAAGTGCTTTCTTCTGATAATTTTAAATATATTGCCTGCTAATTTCATTTTTCAGTTGATACTTTTTGTGTCATGACACAATCACAATGAATTTACCTTTCCCCAATAATCTGTAATATTTGAGACCGTTAACAAGCTACTAAGTTTCTGTCCAGGCTACAGAATTTCATTCTATCTCATTACTTCTTGTAGAGAAGCTGTTTGATTCTTCTGCTGTTTGTGTTACTCTTTTGTTCATGCTTTTCAAGTTCTATTATACCACTGCTAAGAGGAGGTGACCAACACCACTAACAATAAGTGAGGTGCCAGTTCACTTTAGTTGTGCAGTATCACAGCAAAATCTGCTTTTTTCATTAGTTGCCAAGAGTATTGTGACATTTGCTGGACTTCAGATGTCTGATATCACCGCAGGGCTGCAGAATGATTTCTCAAGCACCTCTGCTTTTATCTATCCTAAAAACTCTTCTCTGCTACAAATCTTCCACCCTCCTTTCCTAAACCACTCATTCTTCTTAATGTTACTTGTTCAAAGAAGCCCAAACTGGTGACTCTCTATTCTCTCTGACTTCCATGTCCTCCTACCTTTTAAACAACTACAGGAAAACCTCTCACCCTCTAATTGCTTCAAAAAACTAAAAGACTTAGGCAAAAAAAACTTGTTGAAAGGTTTGTAACAATCCATACAGACCATATCAACTAACATAAAGTCCAGTAGACTCTCACCATTTTGAATCTGTGACTCACCTCTCTAATTAACTCTCCCAAAATATATTGAAATTATGCATATTTTAGTTTCCCTGTAACCTGCTTGACATGGCAGTCCCTATTTTCTTAGGATGGTCTTGCCACCCTCCTCCTGTCTAGTTTTGTGACTCTCTTGTGCCTTAAGAACACTGCACAACAGGTAAGTTTAATTACCTCATGCTTGAGCTCCTCTAGAATTTAGTAAATGCTTGTGTCTTCCAACTTAACACTAGTCAGTTTATCAGACTTACTGACATGCCAGCCAGAGGGTGAACCTGGGGAATTGTATCCATTAAGATCCTTACCCCCTTTCCCATTTCCACAGCGAACAGCCTCAGCCTTGCCTTCCATGGATGCTGGCAGCAGGTGTTAGAACCCGACACCATTTGTCCTACAACAAGCAGAGCCGCAGTGATCTCTCTATGGATCAACTTTCTGATCTGCCCACAGAAACATTCCACATTTTTTAGCGTGACAAGGAAACAAGAAAATATTTCCTTCAGCATTTCCATTTGCATTTACGGATCACGCCAAGATTTGCTGCACCGAGGCCAAAACAATCCCGGAGAAGCGGAGCCGGCGGAGCTCCCAGCGCCCCGTGACCACGGCGCCCCGTGCACAGGCGGGCACGGTCACGGCTGCGGTCGGTCCCGGAGCTCGGTCACCGCCTGTTCCACGGCCACTGACAACGCGTGAAACCGAACAGCTCCTCGGCTCGCTTCATCCGCCAGCGCGGCCGGACTCTGTCATGTTCGAGGAGATGGTTCAAGCAGTGAAATTACATACACCAAGTCTCATACCAATTAAGACTTTAACCACTAATTCCTTAGGTAATTAATCATCCCGTAAGGGAACAAGTGACAGGGAAGAAGCCACTCTCTAGCCCTGCAGCTTCACCTGCCGCAGGCCGGGCCCCGGGAGCTGCGCTGCGCTCTCGGTGCAAACACTGCATCGCCACGGCCCCGCCAGCCGCGCTCACCCTCCTCGCCCCGCGGGGCCTCGCCCGGATGGCGGGAGCTGCGGTGACCCCCCGGTCGGGCCCCGCCGTCCGGGTCCCCGCTGTCCCCGCTCGTCTCCCGCCGACCTGCCCCGCCGCCCCGGCCCGCCGGGGAAGGGCCGCGATTGCCACCCCCCTCGCCGCCCCCCGACCCGCCACGGCTGCCCCGGGCGGGGAACCCGCCGCCCTCCCCACACGGCCGCGGTCCCGGGGCTCCGCCTCCCCTGCCCGGCACCCGCGGCCCCCCGCGGCGCGCCCGCGGCCGCCCCCTCACCTCGATAGCGGCGGGAGGCGGCGTGGCAGGCGGTGAGGAGCAGGACGGCGCCCAGCGCCAGCGCCTTGGCGCTCCTCACACTGAAGTAGTAGTTGATCTCCCGCTTGCCCCCGGTGTAGGCCAGCGCCGCCATCTTGGCTCCTCCATGACAACAGCGTGCGATGGGGCGGGCGGGCGCGGCGGGGCAGCACTGGGTCCCCGCCGGCGGCCAACGCGGACCCCGCCGGCTGCCGCCGTCCCCGCCGCCGCGGCCGAGAGCAGCCCCACGCCCCGCTGCAGCTGGGGCGGAGCCACCGCCGCCCTCCTGGCGCTGCCGGTTCCCCTCGGCCGCCAGCGGGCGGCCCCAACGCTCGACTCCCCGCCCCGCGGCCGCCGTGGGGCTGCGGTGGGTCCCGGTGGGTCCCGCCCTGCTCGGTCCGGGCCCCGCGGCTGAGGGGGAGGTGGTGGGGACCTCGTTGGGACCGTGATCCGTGAAGGAGTACACTGTGCGTGACGGCTGGCACTGCACAGCGAGGGCTTCTTGTTAAATAATGCGATTTTAAGCACTTGTCACTCTTCTATTGACAAGGGAGTGGTCATTCCAGGCTGGGAGACGCTCACTCCCTCTGAACGCGGGTAAGTCTACAAGGAAGTTGACACAATCACGGAATCAATAAGGTTGGAAAAGATGTCTGAGATCGAGTCCAACCTATGACCCAAGACCACCACGTCAACTAAACCATGGCACTAAGTGCCACATCCAGCCTTTCCTTAAACGCCCCCAGGGATGGTGATTCCACCACCCCCCCTGGGCAGCCCGTTTCAATATCTAACCATCCCTTCTGTGAAGAAACTCTTCCTAATGTCCAACGTAAGCCTCCCCTGGTGCAGTTTAAGACTAAGTCTTCTTGTCCTATCAATAGTTGCCTGGGAGAAGAGGCCAACCCTCATGGATTTAGCTGGATTTGAAGGGATGCATGAAATGATTGCTGAAATCTTACAAAAGGGAAATCCTGTTCCTCCACAAGCAGCTACCTGAGTCGTACCTGGGAAAAGATACAGGGCAGCAAATCCGGGCTCTGAGTCCAGTCCCTCAACAGCAGGGGAGTTGGGAAGCAGACACTGAAGCCACCAGGCCCAGAGCAGGACAAACTGTCACAGGAAAGACATTTCCACAAAATAAAGTAACCACATATAAACCATATAAACAAATACAGAACTTAGGGAAAGTGTGCAGTATGCAGTCAGATAAATATGGGAAACAAATATGGGAAATAAACAATGAGCAGTTGCCAAGCCTTGGGTGCATGATGAAGTACGTACTGTGCTAGACAGATTCCCTCAGATCCAGCAGAATTCTTTTCATTAGGATTGGCCAAAAAAAAATGAACAGAAAAAATGTTTGTTTTGCGATTTTTTTAATCGAACAGGTAAACAATAATAATGAACAATTTGGATTCTGAACACACAAAAAGTTCTGTTTTCATTTCACCAACCTTCCATTTCCCTGTCATTCAAGAAACACTACTCTGGAAGTTCAGAAAAATCATTGAATTTGATTATTCATTTAATAATAGATGAAAAAAATAACTGTGTGTGTGGGAAAAAACAGTGAAATATTTGAAACAAAAAACGGGAAGTCTATCCACTCAAGCAATGTTTTATTTTGAAATATTACCTGAAAAACAGAAGAATTTAAAGTATTATGCAAACACAATGTAATGTGCATGCAAAATTTGAGTTCAGGTATTCCTCTATTACTATATGTTCAATGTATTGATATTGATACGTTCATTTCCATCCAACCAATGTCTTTACTGTCTGCCAACATGTAATCTATATTTTTTTCTATTCAAGTCTGCCTGTTAATCACTTTCTCAGCATTGTTTTTAAATTATAAAAACACTATATTAAAATGCTTAGGTTTACTCTCAGGGATAGAGGGAGAAAAGGTATCCCTTAAACTCCCAAGTGTACTGATGGGTGGTTACTGGGTTATGTTTTTCTTAAAAAAAAAAAAAAAAGCAACAAAACCAAACTAAAATAACAACAAAAATCCAAACAAATCAACCACCCCAATTCTGGTTATAGTATGGGTTATTTTACTCCATAAATGAAAAATTCCCATTGATGCATATTTTTTGTCTCATATATCACTCAAAAAGCCAAGAATTTTCAAAGCCTTCATACTATGAACAAACTTTATTGTTTGTTAAAATATTTCTGTTAGTGCTTAGCTTTCTTTGTCCTCATTTCACATGCATTTTACACTTTAAGGAGCAATTTAAATATTTTTTAACACCTCTAACTGAAAACATTCACTAGAATGCTGGTAATTTACTCGTAAGTTAGAATAAGGTGAATGCGGAGGAATGGCAACTTTCTGTTCAATTCAGAAAATAAGTTTAAATTGGATAGATGTAATTTACACAGGTATAATTTAGATGAGATAGTTCTTCCTTTGATGCTTCCTGACTTCGTTTGGCAGGCTCAGTGTACATAGAAGGAGAACTTTGTGCCATGGGTCAGACCCGGCATGCACGTACAATTTTGCTGATAAGCTTCATTCATGGTAGATCTCCTTCAGCATTACAGCATTGCTCCATGTTCTGGAGTTGGAGCTGCTGTCCTCAGTCAAAGGCACAAGGCAGTCACAAGGACTGGAAACATGTAAGAAGATAAAATGGCTACTATAGTATAAAGTCAGCTATTATAGAGAGCTGGTATTTAAACATTTTCAGTCAGAGGAATAGTAGGGCATTCTCATATGATATTTTCCCTTTAGAGTTTTTATATGTTTATAAGAGTGTAATTGATTTTTCACAAGTATATATAGCAAGGAATATAAGCACCAGTGATGGAAGAAAAATTAAATTACCTTTAATCTAAAAGTTTCATGAGGAAAATATTCATGTGTTCATAAGGAACATACTATTTGTTGTATAACAATTCTAAACATCCACTGGTCAGATTATGTGACCAATACATCTGTTCTAGAACAAGAAGCAGTCACAACCATTGAGGCCATGCTGCTGAGAAAACAACTGCGTTGGGCAGGACACATCTCAAGGATGAAGGACCACCTCCTCCCTAAGATCCTGCTTTATGGTGAACTTGCCACTGGCTGCCACAAGAGAGGAGCCCCGAAGAGAAGATACAAGGACTCCCTGAAACAACATCTCAGCCTTGGCCATATTGATCACTATAACTGGTCTACTCTGGCCTCCAACTGGGAGGTCTGGAGGCACACCATCTATAATGCTGCTGATGGTTTTCAGAACACAGGGTCGCTCTCGAGGAGAAAAGACAACACAGAAAGAATTGTGTCTTGCAGAATATACCATCTAAGGAGTCTTTCTGCTGTGCCTTTTGCAACCGGACTTGTCTATCTCGTATTGGCCTTTTTAGCCAAGCGCGCTTGTAACAAACGTGGGTAGAGCCCTTCCCAAATCTTTGTCCACGAAGCCCAGCCATGATGATGATTTGTTATATACTATAACTGGAATATTTCCTACATTAACTTACAGGTTAAGTGTTGAATAATTAATTAGTAGGATTTACCATACCCCAAACCATATCACTTCTCAATTTGAATGGAGAAGCATTGCTGGATTGTGCTGGTCATATTGCAATTCCAGAAATAAAGCTGCATTTCCAACGTGTTCCTGGACAGTGTATTATTTTCAGTAGTGCAGCTTTTGCTTTGGCAGCTTTTGTGTACTCGCCAAATGATGGCATCAGACATTTTAACTGCTGAGTTTTCAGCCTCATAATGGCAATCAATTTTTCCCTAAGCGTCAAGTTTCCATGCGGTGTGTGCATGCATGGTAGTCACCTATTGCAAATATTTAATTGCATTAATGAAGAGGGAGTACAGATAGTAAGAAGGTTTTTTCTCAATGGACTTGTTCAATGAAGCAGTGTAGCCTGTGTACTGTTCCAGCCAAATGCTAAAACAAATATGCCCCCAAACCTGTAAGATCTTGGAAATTCTATCACAAATTACTGCTTTTACAGGTTTCTAATTTTGTAAAAATTATAAAAATGGTTCCTCAATAGTCTGTACTAAAGTCAAGCTGATATTAAGTGAAGTAGTTATGAAATCACACATATGAAGGCCATACTTAACTTTATCCCTAAGAGATAAATACATCTGCAGTTCTATAACATGAAGCTTAATAGTGTTTTTGTTTAGGGTTTCTGTGGGTATGAAACAGATGTGGATTGGAGGGATGAAGACAGGAAAAGGAAATAGGCAGACTGCAAATGCTTATGTCATCTGTCCCCTTTCATTAAGGACAGTCAAGGGACTACACCTTTCTGCATCACGGGTTGTGTCATCTCTGTGCAGCTACACAGTTCTGAGTCCAGGCTGGGACTCTGCTCAGCTCACTAATGCAGATCTATTTTTCTTTCAGCTGCTTAGATTCTTATCCTCAAAGCTTTGTATCCATCAGGGTTATGGGTTAAGAATTTTCAATTTAGATGAGTTTTTTTGGTATTCAGGTACAAATTTTTTCTATTTCCCCCCTCTCTTTTCTTGACCCCTGGTTGAGGGAAAATGGCAGTCACTGTTAGTT